AGAAATAGACCGTCCATATTCTTTAACCCAATAGCACCTAAAAGTCATTTCCTTCAGTTCCTCTCTTTTTCCAGCAACAAAGAGCTTGGACAGATAACAGACAACTGCTCAATTTCCGCACCCCTTTTTTTGGCATGCATTTTACTCATTTTCAGAGAGCAAAACATCAGCTTCTGAACATATTCTTCTCTTTTCCCTGGACATGCAGAAATTCAATCTCCAGGATGTTGAATTTCCCAAATGTCTCCAGATGGGGGAGGAAAGCGTGCAGATAAAGTGATTACCATATGCAAATGACAGGTAACAAACACATCAACCATGAGAAATCTGCTGACTCTACAAAGAACTGCTTTCTGGATAATTACATATGGAAGAAAGAAACAGTATAAGGAGTTCAACCAGAAGCAATGCCGAGAGGATACAGCACAATTATATGAGTAAAGCAGAACTGAAATACTTTATTGCCTAAATTTTGATGTTATTGTCTTTAGGACAAAGGATGCAGTACTGTACATATCAATCATTCAATCAGAAGAACTGGTTGATGTTGTGTGTTTACTCATCCTGATATTTCCTAACCTGAAGCTAAGCCCAGAATTTTTGTTAACAAGCACATTGCAAAATCCCTGCACCTATTTTAACTAGAGCATGAATTCTCCATAATCTCAAACACACTCTTCTGGAGCTGAGTTCCACTGAAGTCAAGAGAAGTTATTTCTGAACAGGTTTGACTTATGGATACTACATAAATAACAAGTATTATTTGCCATTTTCTTCTTCCAGGATCCCCCCCCCCAACTTTCCAACTAGCCTGTTGGTTCTTCCATTGCTGATGGATTCCCATCCAAGTGCAAATTGTGAAGATCTCAACTCAATTAAATTAAAGCAAATAGTCAATACAGGCTCCAGAGGCTCCCTTCTCTTGTTCCCTAATGCCATCTTTCTGTATTGTAGTCTGCAGCTGGTTTTGTGTTTGCTTAAATTCAACAAAACAGCTCCACACATGTGGCCATGGAGGCTGAGGTCTGGGAAGGAGAGGAAGCCAGCATACCAGACCCTGTCTTTGATCCAATTAATGTCTGACAGTCATGGAAGAGGGGGTGAGATATTGATCTCTCAAAACATTTAGTTTCTAAAACTTTCTATATTTATCCTTTATACCAGTCTATCTTTTGTCAGGAGACAAAGGCGGCTGCAGTAGCTAGACATGATGCAGAATGGATGAGGTTGTCATGTCTGGATTTGGCTGGAATTTTTCATGTTTGTATTGGGACGCAGAGATGTTTCAAGACTAATACTTGCCTATATCTCTTTTCAACTGGTGCAGGCACATGCATAAACACTTACAGGCATACACATTTTTGTATGGATTCTTCCCCTCCAGTTTTTTGAGCAGTTTCTGAAGTAATTCCACATTGTAATTTGTTGTTTGAGTTTTTGTGCATTGCAAGTTAGGTGCCATGAGCTTTATTTATTTAAAAAGAACACTTCTTGGATCTTCTTCAACTCCTATTTCTATCTTGTTGCTTATCAGAACTTATAAAAATAGCTACATCCTGAGCAAGTTGGATGCAAAAACATGCTACACTACCAGACAAGATACAGGTATTCCTCAAATTATGACAATTGAGCCCAAAATTTCTGTTGTGAAGTGAGACATTTGTTATGTGAGTTTTGCACCATTTTACAACTTTGTTGGCACAACTGTTAAGTGAACCACTGCAGCTAATAAGTTAGTAACCTGGTTGTTCAATGAACCTGGCTTCCCCATTGACTTTGCTTGTGAGAGCTCAAAAGGTGATCACATGACCTTGGGATACAGCAATCATCATAAATATGAACCAGTTACCAAGCATTTGAATTTCAATTGTATGATCCTGGGGATGCTGCAAAGGTTGTTAACTCTGAAAAATGGTCATAAATCACATTTTTCAGTGCCGTTGTAACTTTGAATGATCACTAAACTGTTGTAAGTCAAGGACCACTTATAGTTCTGACCCAAAATTTGCCCCCATTCTTTCTAATCCCATGTCTATAATTGAGAATCATTATTCTTAGATGCTAATGAGATGCTAATGAGACTTAACCCTGATCGTGGTGATAATACATGTACACAAGTATGTTCTGTAGTCAGCCTTTTTCTTTAAGATCAATTGGTGCCAGACATGCCCAACTACAAGGAAACATCAGTGGAGGGAAAAGCCCCAAGTGCTGCTGCAAAACACCATTAACCATTCTGAATGTAGAATTAATTCACTGTGTATCCTGGATAGTGCGAGTGTCAACCAAATGGACTAGTAATCTTAAGCAGCCAAACTACTCTCTACTAGCATTGTAATCTCCCGGCTAATGTACCATCGCCATATGCTAAATAAATATATACCACTAAAACTCTTGTCATGACTTTTAACTGAGTGAAATAGGGCCTCACAGGGCAAACCTTTTGCACCAAGGTACTCAAACAACTAATTCACTGAATATGTCTAAAATCTGAGACCCAAGAGGATGAAATTTGGGGAAATTATGGCTGTTTTCAGTACTACTGGCTTCTGCTGGGTTGCTCTTGCAGTCACATATCTAAATTTTCAATGTTCTGTGAGTTTCCCAGCTAGTCTCACAATGCCTTGCTTTCCCCCACACCCAGCAGCCACTTACCTGTCTGCTGGGAAGAAAATGGGAAATTTCCAATGCTCCTTATCACAATGAAACTCAATGGGGAAGCCAGCAGGAAGTCAGAAGTCACTCCTGCTCCCACTGCTTTTTTGCCCACTCTTAAGTCATTTTCTTTCTTTATTTAGGGAAGGAAATATCTCTGAAATGATGGCTCGAGGTACAGGTTGTCTAGTCATGATATATAAATAAAATTCTTGATTCTATGTAGGAAGGGTCTAACTCTATATTTGAGGATGCAAATTTTGGAAGTATAACCCACAATAAAATAAAGCTGTACTAAATTCTATGTAGGATGTTCTTGAAGATAATTTGAGAACTTCAATTGATTCAGGATATTGGGCATCTCCCAAAGCAAAAATACATATATTCCTCCTGGATAGCGAAAGCTTAGAAATATGACAATTTTCATCATGGTGACAAGCCCTGAACTCTCCTTTCTGAAAACATTTATTATATACTCTACAATTTTTCTTTCTTTTACATTAATGATTTGTTTAAATCTTTTTTGTAGAGATTTGCATCTTTGTTAACTGTACAGGTAACTTGTTTGTTGCATATTCTTATTTTTCATCACCAAAAGGCATTCTCCCCTATTAAAATGCTATTGACTGGAAAGTAACTTTTTTTTAACTTTACTTTTTCAGTTGTCTCTCCACTTAAAGGCAAAAAAGTCAAAGGTTTGGCCATATACTTTATAATGAAGTCTAGGCTCAAATTTTTGCCATAAGTTATTTAAAACTGTTTCTTATCTTGGCAAGAATAGAAATCAGTGGCTAAATGTCTCAGACTGGAGGTAGAGGGGTGGGGGAGATATATGTTAATTTGCATGCAATTAGTTTTTTTCATCTTTAACAGATCCTGGGAAAATTAAAGTCAGTTCTTACCCCCTTAGCCCTTGTTGGGACTCCTTATCTTTAGAATTCTAATGTGCTTTATTGTCTGTGGCCACAACTCAGTATAACAGGTCATTGAATTTTGAAGCCTTGAATAACACAAAAATGATAGCATCATTTTTTTACAGCGTTCTGAATTTTTTAGAAATTAATAATTGCTAATTTTTAAATTTTTAAATATATTTTTGAAAGCTTTGAATGCAAGCTTTGATTTAAATCTAAAGGTCTTTTTCCCATTTCAGATTGAAAGCTCTATCCACAGATGTGTTTCTATCGCACATGCAAATTTTGGGAAAGTGCCTTCTGAATTGTCATGGTAGGAGGATTACTGTGTTAGTCTATAGTATAGTCTTTTATTTTGCTTGTTATCATGCAATTAATGTATTTTGAAGTTGGTTTTTTTACACCCTTATATACTTTTCTGCTCATGTTTTTTAATGTATGTGTTTTGTTTTAAAAATGACTTATTGTCTAATTTCAGTAGCATGCTCTATTATCAGGAAGCTCCCTCTACATTCTTTAAATATATTTATTTAAACATGCATATTTCATGCAAAGTACTTAAAATCTCCTTTATCCATTTCACTGGACATCTTCAGTGCTACATTATTAGAAATTACACCGTCCAGTTAACAAGCACTTCTATCTTTGGATTGCCAGCAAAATAGATACAAAGAGGAGTAAAAGCTTGTAAACAAAAATGAAAACCAGACAAGTGGAACCATTATAAAACGCTACTCTGCTGTGGCCTGAATCCTAATCCACTAGGGAGCAGATTTATGCTTGTTTGTAACAAGTGTCTTTACAGTGCTATGTTAAGCTTACATATATAAATATACCACAGGAAAACTATAGTGATTGTTACCACCAAGTGATATATCACACAACATACATACATTCATACATACATACATACATACATACATACATACATACATACATACATACATACATACATAAACTTTTCATATTTCAAATGACAGTTTTCTTCAATGGTCTATCTGTTGTTTATGCTGCCTGAAGTTATTCCAGTCAAATGTTTAGAGCCTTGCATTTTATGGTATATATGGTTGAAAGGATCATATATTGACCAGAAAAGGCTTTGTGACAAATAGCTTGGTTTCTTTTTGACTGATAGGTCTTATACCACTGGGTGATAATTCACCATAGTTTTCCTGTGGTATGTTTGCCTGAAATTACACAGTATTTCAAATACTTGGTTTATTTCTCTTTTTTCCAGTCAAGATTGAACTGAATATTTATCAGACAAACAAAAAACCTACACTGAGATTCCCCACCCCCCAACAAATCTGCCACAAATTCAAGATTCTTTTTTTTAATAACCTACAGACATTTCCATGTATAAATATGTGGATGATTTTAAGTAACATTTAATAGTCATATAACTTTTTTTGCAAGAATTACTTGGCACCGTTTTTTTACTGTGTTCAAAATTTAATACAATTCCATTTTTTGTAATGTTGTACCAATAATTCAAGTTTACAGACTTTTTTTAAAACATATTACTTATAATAGATAATATCCAGGAAATCCAGTCCCAGATGACATTCTAATGTTGCCCATTTTAAAAAAAACAATAACCCTTTATGCCCAATAGCAAAGAAAGAAGAAATGGTATCAAAACAACAAGGAGGTTGGGGAGGAGAACCTATTGTATGTATTCACGAACACAAAAAAATTTCTTACTGCTCAGGATAGGAAAATACACTTCCAAGAAAAAAATGCAAGAAGTTTGGATAACTAATTTGTAGCAACGGCCAAGCAAATTAGTGGCTTTTTAAAGAAGGAGTAATTGAGTTTTTTCCTTAACTTTTACTGCCTGATTCATCTGTTCATAGCCACTTATCATGGTACTTAAGTTTAAAAATGTTCTGGGATAATATTTTTTTTTTTAAAGGATGCTGGTAATTTGACTTAATTTCAGAATTCCTATGTAAGAAATAATGTCACCGAACAGCAAATAAGGATGAAGGCAGAATCAAAAGAATCAAAAATAAATCACTACAATCACATGATAGTCGAGAACTACTGTTTTTTGAGTCCTTATACTAATATGAAGTATTTGATCCATGATCAGCTTATGGACAAAAGCTGATAGCATTACAGCAATAAAGCAAAGGGGGAAATGTGTATTGGAATTATCCAACTGCTCACTGGGAAAGAAACAATGCAGTAAGCAGGCAGGTCTTGGCCTTGTTTTGTATGCAAAGAAGTGGTCCAATTAAGTAGTTAAATATAGCCACATTATCAAATATCTAACAAAAAAGAGCAGAACGAAACCTAGCCTTTGAGTCTAAGGATAGTAACAGGCCTTTCCACTTTGTGTAGCTGAATGACCTCAAAGATTGGTAATAAAGGAATGACAACAACAAAGCAGTGATGGGAAAAGCCTCTGAGTTTATCGAACAGTCACACCAAGTTTCTCAAGCACACGCACTCCCTTCTCTTGATATTCTTGTCTGGTCATCCAAAAGTTGTCTTTGTCCTTCATGATGTCTGCAAGAACTGCACCACCAAGGAATACCATGTGCTTTCGACGAGGTGGATCTTCAATTCGAATCTTAAATTTCTTACAGGAAAAAAAAGACACGCAATATTACTGAAGTTTGAGGGGCAAAATTGCCATAGTATGATGACAATGATGATAGAATTAAATTACTTTTTGGTTAAGTGGATAATGAGTTTATGTTCCTAAATGTTAATTAAAAACATTTATATAAGATGCCTTAGTTTAGAGAATATTGTTAAATTACAAAATAGTCTAAGTACTATGGGACAAAGTGGAGTTTCAAGCCGTTTCCACTTTTATACATTTGAATCAATGTGTACTGTACTCGATACATACATTCTCCTAACAACACAAATATAATGGACCTATTAAGTCCACTATATATTAAGCTATGTAAATAAATAAATACTGGAATATTCTTTTATTACCATATAAATTACGTGGAGTTTTTTTTTAATCATCAATCCACTTTTATTTGGGTGATTTTTAATAAAATGTTCTCTTTAGGGTAAAGAGAACAATGTAATGTTGTACAAGCTGACTTCTACTTATGCAACAGGGTTTTCTATCCTTTGTTCCCTCTGCAACAGCAATCTACTCTTGATGATTCCACCACCCTATATGGACAGAAGTGGAGAACTGAAAGGGCAAAACATATCTGTTCCTTTGATAGTTGTGGTTTCCCCAGTTACAGACCACAAGTAAATCTCATCCCAAAGATTCGGTACATTAAGAACATAGATCAAAATATATCAATTTCTTTATCTACATCTACACATATCTTTTGGATATGTACATACACATACACTTCTTCCCAAGTATTAACCTTTAAATAAAACAATCCCTCATGTCATAATTTGTGGGTGCAAAAGGGAACAGGTTCCAATTCTCTCAGTAATAGTGAGAAGGCTGGAACTATGCGAGGTTCTAATAAAGAAATGAAAGTAGGTCCTATAAAGCAGAAACATACTGCCTAGATGGCAAGTAAAGTGATAGGTATTTTTAATTATGTAGATTTTATAAGCTACAGCAGGGATCCCTAACCTGTGGGCCATGGTCCACTAGTGGGCCATGAGGGGTTTGCAATCGGGCTGCAGAAACTGATGACACATGCACGGGTATCCTCACTTGCGTGAGCAGCAGCTCCATTTAAGTGAGTGACAGGCATGCATGCATACTGCTCATGCAAATGGAGTTACATGCGCATGCACGCACCATTCCCCGCCCCCGCACACCAATCTGGAAATGTTGGGGAACTCTGAGCTACAGGATATTATAACAAAGAGATTTTTCTGAAACGAAAGATACTTATGTCCTGATCAATCCCTAAAGGCAACATTGTTCCAAAGTCCAAAAGGAAAATATTAGTTAATAAACTTAAATGTTATTTTAAGACACACAATGCTGTCCTATGAACCGTTAAAAGATTCATGAAAATAAATGTCAAATGATGCTATGAAGAGGAAAAAAGAATAAATATAGTTCTAATAAAGTGGTTACATTTAAAGATCATATCAAATCTTATCATTAGATCATATACTAGATCTTCAAAAGCTAGTATAATCCAAAGTAGTTAACAATACATAATTATCTTATGTGGAATTTTAATAATCTCTATTCAAAGTAACTTATTCAAAACTCAAACTTAATTCAGGCTGTCCGCTATATTAGTGACCATCTTGCTCCCTCTAGTGACCAGTTTCTATATGTTGTAATCAAGAATTATTTGATGGGTGAGTACTTACTGAAAGTTTTTCCACATCACCTTTCAGAACTCGCTCCAGATATAGCTGCTTCAGTTCACGTTCTAGGCGAGATGGTAGGCCAGGGTACATTGTGGAGCCTCCAGATAATACAATGTGCTTATAAAATTCAGATCTAGAGACAGAACAGATACCTCACAGTATAAACAATGAAGGTACATCAAACAAATCTGGTACATCAAAGTATATACACTATATTTATTTATTTGATTTATATAGCAACACCCCCCTCCATGTCAACAATTTATTCTGAGTGGTATGCATCATAAAAACAATTCAAATCAATATATGGTTGCAGAATAAAACTATTGCCATGGATGTTGATGTAGTCAAGAACTGTGACCCTTAACATACACGGCATACAGTACATATACAGTAAATCCTCAATTTAATGGACCTCAGATTTAACAGACAGTATGTGCTTTGGCTGCAGTGTTCCTACAGTTGGCATCAATTGATGTCTATGCTCTCTATAGATCTCTGTTGTTTTAACTTGCTAGAGAAACTAATGGTTCCAGGATTGGCCTGGATTGTAAGGCTGGGTGTTATTCTGCCTCCTAGTGTGTCACACTTATGGTTTACAGATTTATTTTCACAATGCTACTGCTCAAATATCTGTGGCTTGCACTGCTTTTTGTTCCTAGACCTACATACTTACCTACCTACCTTTGCCCCTTCCTCTTTCAGTTTTAGCAAGAAGCACTTCTACCTCACTAGCTAAATCAAGTTCTGAGGTGCCATAAAAAGAAAAATAAATCCACTAATAAGCATGCAGATGCTATAATAGCCATAGCCGCCCCACTTCAATATTCTCTCTGTAACAATGATAAATAGCACACATATTACCATTTGCTTACAATCCATGAACATTTAAAAAAAAGAATTTCCACATCCAAGTAGAGCTACAAATCAGGACATGTCTTTTCTCCCATTAAATGGTTCCTGTGTATGTGTGTTTTTAAAAACCTGTGATATAGTGTAACAACAATTTCCAACTCATACCTGGTATCAATATCAGCAGCTTGGATGGTGTTGAACAGCAGCTCAGCAACACCAACTCCTTCCACATTGATTAAGTGAGGCTGGAATAGGGCCTCAGGTGCCTCAAATCGCTCACCTCCAACTTTAATAATTCTGCCATCTGGGAGCTGTAAAATAGAGACAGTCTGAAATAGCTCTATTATCACTATTTCTCCTAGACTAAACTAGGTCAAAAGCTTGCTGGAGAAATTTCTCTCTTACTAGCTGTATAACTTGGATCACACTCTTTTTGCTACAGGGTTGATTTTGCTTATGAATGCCGTAACTCTTCTTTTAAAGGAAAACTTTAAAAATGTTTGATAACAATTAAAACAAATATATATTTTTCATTAATGGAGCCTCTTCATCTTTGCCAATAAAATTTTAAAAGTTGAGGGGAAAAAGAACATTTCCAACTTCAGTCTTTTCTTTACTGAACTATAGAATAGAATAGAATTCTTTACTGGCCAAGTGTGATTGGACACACAAGGAATTTGTCTTTGGTGCATATACTCTCAGTGTACATAAGGAGAATAAAATGCATTCATCAAGGATCATAAGATACAACACTCAGTGATAGACAAGGCTACTAATAAGCTATCAAATCGTACTAGGAAACAAATAAAAGCAATATAAATTGAAAGATACAAGCCACATAGTTATAGTCATAAGTGGGGAGAGATAGATACTAGGAAGGAAGAGAAGAATAATAGTAATACATTTTAAATTATTGACAGTGTTGTGGGAATTAGTTGTTAAGCAGAGTGATGGCATTCAGGAAAAAACTGTCCTTGTGTCTAGTTATTTTGGTGTTCAGTGCCCTATTGTGTCAATTTTGAGGGTAGAAGTTGAAACAATTTACACCCAGGATATGAGGGGTTTGTAGATATTTTCATGGCCCTCTTTTTGACTCATGTAGTATATAGTTCCTCAAAGGAAGGAAGCTTGATTAATTCCATTTAAAAAAATACATTAATATATAATTTATGCAAGATATCTGCCTTATTCTCTGTAGTGTTAATTGTCACTGTCAAAGTAATTCTCACTGTTAGTACTGTTTCACTTATTCCCAACTGTGTAAATGTTATAGAAGTGGTTTGCCATTGTCTGCTTCTTAGAGCTAAGAGTGCTTGGTTGGCCCAAGGTCACCCAGATGCCTTCAAATGCCTAAGGTGGGGTTAGAATTCATGGTCTCTTAGTTTCTAGCCTGGTAACTTAACCACTATACCAAACTGGCTTCCTTATCTATATATTGTTATATAGATAGCTGGAAAAAGTATAGAAGAGGATGGGCAAAATGAACCTCCTTCTCTTCTAGAAAGGGGTAAAAAGTTTGGTACTTTTTAAACTAAAATGCAAATAAATGGGGACATAACTGAGCAGTATTAAACTGCATACAGTATAGACAATATGAACACAGAGGGAAGCTGACCAGAAGACTTAAACCAGACAAAGGGAACAACTTCACATAGCATAAAGTTAACCTAAGAAATTATAAAATGTGATTATCATCAGTAATTTAGAATATAGAATATCAGGATTGGAAGGGACCTTATAAAGCCCTTCATGGTATTGGACCTGGGTACTTGAGAGACCGCCTGCTGCCAATTACCTCCCAAAGACCCATTAGATCG